AAAAAACATTCATCTAGAAACGTAGGTCTCCTAATAAAGTACAAGCACTTGATAATTTCAGGCGAATCCATTCAACAAAAGGACAGACAGCCGTTTGTGAGAAGGAAAATTAAAAAGAAAATGGAAATTGCACAAAAAATAAAAAACGGAAATTACAAAAAAGGGGGCACACCTAGAACGCGGCTAGTGTATAGCCAAGCCTTACGATAAAAACCAAAAAGGCCTATCAAAAAACTCAAAAATACTTCACTAGACCGGGGTACTCCTGAGAGAGGAGTTCTCTCCAGGGACCGCCAGTCACTCTAGCAAACTTTGCTAGAGCATTGAGAGAGGCCTCCGGGGGGTAGCCCCGGAGGCGAGACTCCAAAACTGTTGCAATCATTGCAGTGAGTGCTGGTTCCTCAGATGTCGCCAGCCTGCTATATCTAAGAAAGCTGGCATATAGCGTGGATTTCTTCGTTGCTTTTCTTGAAAATGACGCGAAATCCTGCATCGAATGTACCTTCAGAACCCCATCTGCAAGCAGTGACCTCTGATTCCTTGATCGTGGAAAAATATGAAATTCCAGAGGTTGGAGTGAAATCACCACTCGTGTTCCTAGGAAGTCAAAGGCGTTGCAGCCCTCACCTTTTCTTACCAATTTCAAATTCCGGTCGTAACACCCCTCAAACCGCTCCAATACTTGTACGTCTTTGACGTGTGTAACTCCATCACTCAAGCTACATGCCACAAAAATGGAGACATCGTCAATCATCCGTACACCTCTTACTAGAGCCGCATCCCTCCCGAGACTTCCCAGGAAATCGCTCTCTGCTCGGGCACATACTAAACATGCAAGTGCAGGGCTCGAGCTTCTCCCCATCGGAATACCAAACTGCTGCCTCAAGATGACTCCAGCAGACCGGATGTAAGTGTTCCCAAGCTCGTACTTGACTGCTCTCTCGATCTGTCCGAAAGTCATAAGCACAAATCCTTCCTGTTTCCTCCTGATCCTCGTCATAGCACACAGCTTGCCTCTCCTGCTTACTTGTACTCCCAACATGCCTCTAGTAATATGGAAATCTGACAACCACCTTACTGCGTCTAGCACAACCTCATGGGACAATTTTGCGAACATGTCTTTGATGTCGTAGCTCCTGGCTAACACATCACCGCCCTTCTTGCCCAAATCTATGCGTATCTGCTCAAACCTTCCCCGCAAATCATCGGTGGACTTCAGATCAAAGTGGTGTCCTTTCTGGAAACAGAGAAGCATGTATCTTACCGCCCTCCCAACCCTTGCACCTGCTAGGCTTGCCGGGTCATGTACTGCCGGGGAGATGGGTCTCCATCTGTCCAAATCCTTATCCTTTGGTAAGACATAAGCTTGGCCAATCTTGCCTCCTGTTCCCCACATCGCAATCGACTCCAGACCGAGTCGCCTGTACTCAGACCTCATACCGGAGAGGACTGCTACCTCCGATTCATCCACCTCTAAAAAACTATGGTTCCAGTTGAAGGTTAGTTTGCACGCGTGCAGGTATAACACCGGACAAATGAGTAGCGTCGCTCCTGGATTACGATCAATAACAATCCTTCCAAAGTATCAATCCATGTGGACGCTTCTCCGCTGGTCATGGTTTGATAGCATCACGCTGTGCTGCCCTTCAGACATCGGCACAGGTCCATTCGTGCGATCTTCACCGGATCCTTCCGCATCCATGGTTTGAGAGCTACACCGATGTCGCACAACCTCCATCGTACACTGCTCACTTGTCAGCCAGAGGCCAGAGTCTCGCTGATTCGCCCTCGTATCCTAGCCTCACTCTACATTTTACCAACTCGCCGATTGCAGTGTCCCTCTTTGTCCATTCAATGCCTTCGGAATTGCACAAGGTTCTGAGTTCAGGAACCTTTTTTGTCGAAAACTTCCGGTGCAATTCCATTGCATGGTCCAACATATCGACTGCTCCTCGGTTACCTGGTGGGGTACTGAATTCATCCTTCGAATCGTCTACTAAGATCGGTGCAGGCTTCGTACCTCTCCTAACCACCTTTGTCGTCTCTAAATCACCTTTGTCTTTTCTCTTCTTCCCCTTCCTCCTTTCTATCGCCTCGATCAGCCTTCCCGCCTCCTGCTTAACCTCCTCACTTTCATCCTCGGACTCTTCTAAATAACTAGTAATCTCTTTTGATACCTGAGCTTTCGTAGTAGGAGACTTCTTTTTCACCGGAATGGACAATCCGACCGACGCCTTCGTCTGCTGCGACAGGAGCCTCACCAATCTGGCTTCCAAACGGGCTTCTCTCGCATCTGCTTCCCTCAACCTATCCACTTCCTTCCTCTCCTCTTCCTCTTTCTTCTTTCTTTCTTCGATCTCTCTCTCCTTCTTCTCATCTTCCAACTTCTGCATCCGTAACTTCTTCCTGAAATATTCCTTCATTTTCGTTGTCTCTTCGTCATTCTGATTCTGTGCTGAAGCAGCCATCGGAGGAGGATGATAGGGAGGATACGACGGGTGGGGAGGGCTGGGCCTCCCGTTCCCAGCACTCCAACAGTTCCTTGCATAATGACCAGCTTTCCCACAGATATAACATGTGACGATACCTGCGGGGGCCGTTGGTTGGACCATACTACCATAAGTTTGTTGGGGCAGACCATTAAATGGAAGCTGATTCGCCATCTCTTCTTCTCCTTCTTCTCCTATCTCGTACGATATAGCCGATGTTGTATACCCTGCCTAGGATATTCTCAAACATCGAGTAGACCCCTTCTTTTTCAGCCTCGTCAGGTGATTCTAATGCTACAATAACCCTTGGGGTAAGATGATATTGAATTAACTTTTGCAACTCTAACCACTGTCTTTCTAACTCGGAATCTCTAAAGCTAACACCCGACATAAAAAAACTCAAGTCCTGAGAGCTAAGTACACATGAGCTTCGAAAATCCAACGCCGATCGTTTTTACTGTTCACTACTCGGAGTAAAGTACAACCACAGATTGCAAACGTTAGTATAGCGCCAAACAGATGAAGTATTATGAATCGGGTAGCCTTCCAACGTCTCATCCGAAATGGAAAAAAAGGGACCGGGGGAGAGAGAGAGAGAGGAGAAGGTTGGGGGAGGAGGGGGAAGGGGAGGGGGAGGGGGAAGACAACTGATCGGGAAGGGGAAGAAGGTGGAGTGAAAACCAACGAGACTAGTAGATTCGACTAGACGGACCGTGCCAATTCCCCGCAATGTCCTCGCGTCTTCTGATCAGAACTCTTCAAGCGTAAGATGATCACACTTACGCCACACTGAACCAAATCCTGTTCACGAATCAGCTCATAACGATAACATTCACATTCAATACCGCAGCGATTATCGTCACACCACCATACGAAGTAGAGCTCGCCGTATGACCCTCTGCTCCTGCCACAGAAGGTCAGCAAGTCTTCTGATACTGCTGAACACGCCCAGGATCAGAGAACATCGCCCGCCTTCAAATCCTACTCAAGAATCCGATCCAATGACAATCGCCGAAGTTACACCGTTTCGCCAGCCACCACCGAATCTCCCGGCGACAAGACGATCACGCTTACCGCCGTTGATGGTCATCTGATCATCAAACATAACTCGACTTCTCCCCTGCTTTACAACGCTCACAAACCAGTTCTGCAATCCCATAAAGCACCCCTCAACATCGCCCGCGAGCACCGAGACTTGCGGCGTGAAGATGATGACGCTCACCGCCGCTGAAGCAGACCCTGATTGAAAACAACAGTGCCAAACGCGCTGGTCGTGGCAGAACACTCTCGAGAAAACATAGAACTTCCCACCCTGCTTCACAACGCTCACCAAACCGTTCTGCAATCTCGATGATACTCACCATAAAGTACCTCCCAATATTGCCAGCGAGCACCGAATCTTACGGCGTGAAGACGATCACGGTCACCGCCCTTGAAGCAGAATCGAAAAAAAGCGCCGCAAACCCCAAAAGCGCACCAAGTGCTACACGTAGCCATAATACTCGTGTCTATACACACCGGTTACCACGCTAAACGAGATACCAGAGGGAAGAACATGACAAACCGGATACGTGACGCGATGAGAGGAGAAAGGAAGAGAAAGCTACTGAAAGAAGAACATGATAGAGCGAGCTGGGAGAGACGAAGTCAAGGTAACCCAAGGCGCATAGATGAACAGATCGAAGAAATCTCAGTTTCGCAACACACCAAAATTTGCAAGATATTCAGAAAAAACCACCGTATTCACGCAACACCTCGACGCGTTTCGTC